TTACTCCTCCTCCTGATCCTCACCTGAAAAATGTTAAATATTTGGGTGAGCACAAAGGCCCGTGAGTAGCAACCACCTTTAACGAGAGTTGAAAATAAATCTCATATTTCATATACACCGAAATAAACTTTGTTTATATATAAATACAATAAATTGTACCTCAATCCCTTTCACATAACCATGTAAACAAAACGATATCATGATCATAATAACTTTATAAAAGAAAAGACATTTATAGCTCAAAACACTCACACACACATTCAGTCTCAAATACACTTGTCAAATCATGTTTGTTACCACTAACCTGGTAACTGGCCCCAGCTCTTCGCATCACTAGCCTGATGATTGCCCCGTCTTTTGTTATCACTAGCCTGATAACTGGCTCCTATGTGCACATCCCTATACCGACCATGCCGGTATACAATCTTGTTACCATTTAGACCTGGTAACTCAGTCCCCTTCTCATAAAACATGATTTTAACACACACACTAAAACTGTTGTTTTATTCCCATCGCACACAAAATATCTCTTTCATCACCAAAATCATTTAAGCAATAATATAAAATCATCTCATAAGTTNATTAGCCTGATAACTGGCCCCTATGTGCACATCCCTATACCGACCATGCCGGTATACAATCTTGTTACCATTTAGACCTGGTAACTCAGTCCCCTTCTCATAAAACATGATTTTAACACACACACTAAAACTGTTGTTTTATTCCCATCGCACACAANGTCGAGTGTCACACCCCCACCCTGGATCACATAGGGTGAGCAACGGATTGGCCACCAAGGTCTTAATCAATCATCCTTGTGCATAATTAATGCAAAATACAGCGGAAGATAAATAATAAAGTGATCTTTTTTACCGATCTAATGAATACTAGAGAAATAAACTAACATCACCGACATTATTACTAAACTCATGTAAAACAATAATTAATTCATAAAATTCACTACTTTAAGCAAAAATAACATTGTTTTCAAAATAATCGAATAATTGTCTCAAAACTATAAAAAATATTTATTCCTGAAGACCTACAATAAAATAAATTTTCGATTCTGTTAATCCCTTGTCTATCTGAGGACTTACTCCTCCTCCTGATCCTCACCTGAAAAATGTTAAATATTTGGGTGAGCACAAAGGCCCGTGAGTAGCAACCACCTTTAACGAGAGTTGAAAATAAATCTCATATTTCATATACACCGAAATAAACTTTGTTTATATATAAATACAATAAATTGTACCTCAATCCCTTTCACATAACCATGTAAACAAAACGATATCATGATCATAATAACTTTATAAAAGAAAAGACATTTATAGCTCAAAACACTCACACACACATTCAGTCTCAAATACACTTGTCAAATCATGTTTGTTACCACTAACCTGGTAACTGGCCCCAGCTCTTCGCATCACTAGCCTGATGATTGCCCCGTCTTTTGTTATCATTAGCCTGATAACTGGCCCCTATGTGCACATCCCTATACCGACCATGCCGGTATACAATCTTGTTACCATTTAGACCTGGTAACTCAGTCCCCTTCTCATAAAACATGATTTTAACACACACACTAAAACTGTTGTTTTATTCCCATCGCACACAAAATATCTCTTTCATCACCAAAATCATTTAAGCAATAATATAAAATCATCTCATAAGTTTTGCAAATTCACATGTATAACAATTCACAATTGCAAAAACATTTAATTGCAACCCCAAATATCAATATATATCATATATATGAAAAATTCACACACACGCACCCACAAGTTTAATATAAAAAATCCTCTCAAAAGAAGTAATAAACTACTCACCTTGATTTTTAAAATCTAATTCAAAACACTATTTTCCAACCTCAATGCAATCACCACCTAATCCAAAATAACATATAACAATCAATTCATTTTTCCTTATTTCGTCGTTTCGCGATTCTACATTTAATTTTTATACTTTTTACTCATTAATATATACTCAATATATATTTTACATATAAATATCCTTTCTAATATGAGGTAACAGCGTATGGAAGTATTCTAGACTGTTTGACAAAAAGTTTCTAAAGTTTTGGGGTCAAATCATAATTTTTAAAACTTTTGGGGTCAAAGTGTAATTTTATTAAAAACGAATTNATTATTTTCCAACCTCAATGCAATCACCACCTAATCCAAAATAACATATAACAATAAATTCATTTTTCTTTATTTCGTCGTTTCGCGACTCTACATTTAATTTTTATACTTTCTACTCATTAATATATACTCAATATATATTTTACATATAAATATCCTTTCTAATATGAGGTAACAGCGTATGGAAGTATTCTAGACTGTTTGAAAAAAAGTTTCTAAAGTTTTGGGGTCAAATCATAATTTTTAAAACTTTTGGGGTCAAAGTGTAATTTTATTAAAAACGAATTTTCTGTTTTGGAGCCTACCATAAATTTTTCAGAATTCTGTTCTTGCAACTTACCAAGTAAAAGGGTACTTAAAATTAAGTTTAGAATAATAAAGGGGTCAAAATAAAACTCCTAAAAAATAAATGAAAGTTTTCTGTATTTTTTGGGATTTGGTCTTCCTCTTCCAGCGGCTGAACCTGAACCAATACACTTCCTTTCCCTTTTTTTTTTTTTTCTTCCCAACACATTGATTGAACTCAATCAATTCCAAACATCTATAAACTTAAAGATCAACCTAATAACTTCAATAATCAATAAGGTATATATATATATATACACCAACATTATAAATTCTACACCCATTAATTGAATAAGAATATAAAACTCATAAAAAAAATTCATTAATCCATACCTTGGATGGATTCAAGTCTCTTTCTTTCTTTTTCCTCCTCCTCCTTCTCTCTCTCTCTCTATGTATATATATATATATATAGATAACTCTGACTGAATTTTTTTTTTCCTCCTTATTTTTATTTCTCTTGTCCTATTTTGACTGCCTACATATNTCCATACCTTGGATGGATTCAAGTCTCTTTTTTTTTTTTTCCTCCTCCTTCTCTCTCTCTCTCTCTCTCTATATATATATATAGATAACTCTGACTGAATTTTTTTTTTTTCCTCCTTATTTTTATTTCTCTTGTCCTATTTTGACTGCCTACATATATACATATAAAAAATAAAAAAAACCCTAAAGAAACCCTATAAGTCCTCAAATTTATTAAATACATTAATATCCCTTTCTAAAAAAATATTATAAATTAACCTAAAAACTAATATTATATATATTTTAAATTTGAGATATTACAATGAGTACGATAGGAGAAATACAGGCCTCCTTATCGTCATCACGTTGATCGGAGGAACCAAGTACCTCAGATGAAAGAAGCTGTAGTTCTTGATTGCTATGAGGCAGCCAAATTGTACGGTGGGGTTGGTGGTTAGGATGGTCGTAAGAAAGCACCATTTAAGTGGGCTTTTTAAGCTCTCTGGTGTACTTGAGAAACTCATGACATGGTCCTCTAGCAGTAAATGGATGCAACATATGTTGCATGAAGCTATATTGGTGATAAGTCTTTTACTACCACATAGTCCATAGAGGAAAAAGTTAGTAAAATATAGCCCTAGTTTCTAGTAGTTACAAGTATATATATCTTTCCTCTATTGCGAAGCTTGTAGTTTTTTGTGGTCTATGAAGTGAAGCTATAGTTATTTGCTCTACTTGTATTGTCCTATTGTCGGTATGCTTCCGCGCCTTTGATGCCCCCCTCCTCCACCTCGAAAAAAAAAAAAAACACCAACCCACTCTCTTGGCTTGAAAGAACCTAGATTACATATTACATATAAGGTTTGTCATTCCTAAAAAAGTAAAAAATGATCATAAACTGAGCCTTGCTGTTTTGTTATTTACTTATTCGTAAATTTAAAAATAAAATCGAGCCTATTAAAATTTGTTTTTTACATATTAAAATTTGAGCCGATTTGAACTCTACTCGAGTTCTTAGTGCCGATTAAAATTTTCTTTCGAATCGATTAAAATTTATATTTTTTTACTTATTAAAATTTAAGTCAATTAAAATTCATATATTTTTATATATTAAAATTTGGACTAATTAAAATTCAATGCGAATTGATTAAAATTTGATTTGAGTAGATTAAAAATAATTTTTAATTGGCTCAAACAAAATTTTAACTAGCCCAAATTTGAATACGTAAAAAAAATATAATTTTTAATTGGCACAAATTTTAATATGTTAAAAAATAAATTTTAATAAGTTCAAATTTAGTTACGTAAAAAAATTAGAAAACAGATGGAATCTCATTGAAAATATACTTATCTAGAGAGGGTCTTATCAAAGATATATTTATCTATAGGGGGTGTGGATGAAGTTTGTCCTCAAATATATCATGTGCAATTTAGTAAAATTACACTTTACTTAATATTTTTAATTTAACTGAGAGTGTCATTGAAGATTTAAAAATTAGATGGGTGTCCTTGAAGATATGGTAAACTAGAGGGAGTGTGATTAAAATTTTTTATTTTTAAAAAAAAAAAGATGTTTCATTAAAATTATTTCTATTTACAAGGGTGTCATTCAAAACATTGTCGTCCAACAAATTGGAATCAATTGAATTGTACAAGGGGTTTTTTGAATGAAATGGATATCTATAATCTATAATATAAAATATAGTAGATTTTAATAAATTTATTCGACGGTCTTAAATAAACTCATCTAACAGCCATCAACATTTCTCTCAAAATTATTCACATTGAATCTCCTCTAAATTCATCACTTCTCACTTATCTTATGACTTTATTAGGTTTACGTTACACCGTTTTTTCAGGTACAAGTTTCCCATAATATACTATAAGAGATCGTAGTAAAATTTCAAAAAAAAAATAAATAAATAAGGGGGTGTCGTTGAAATTGTTTATTTGTGATGATGTCGTTTGAAACGTCGTCGTCTATCAAATTGGAAACAATCGAATCGTACAAAATCCACATTTCGCCAATCTTTCTCACTGGCTTCTATTAGTATCAGTTCGATAAACCACAACGCAGTCGCTCTGTGTTCAGCCATGGCGATCTTCACCACCCGGCGTACTTTAGCCTCTCTCCTCACCCGAACTCTGTCATCCCCTCCATCTTCTCTCTCCTCTCGTTCTCGCTTCGCTCTCGCACTTCTCAACAACACCCAAAGCCCCCAACTGTATCCGGACCCAAAGCGGGTCCCGACCCGGTTCAAGACATCAAGGTCCGGCTACTCTCCGCTCAACGACCCATCTCCAAACTGGAGCAACCGGCCACCGAAGGAGACGATACTGCTCGACGGTTGCGACTACGAGCACTGGCTCATCGTCATGGAGTTTACCTCAGATCCTAAGCCTTCTGAAGAGGAAATGATTAATAGTTATGTCAAAACTCTAGCTTCCGTTATTGGAAGGTACTTCCTTTTTGCACAATTGCTTCGATTTTTATGTTTTCTCTATGTGTAGGGCAAAATTTTAATCTTAATGTTGTACGGGTATAACCTATTTGATCAATTGCTTCAATGTAAATGCTTATGTATGTACAAACCCACCTGATCAATGGATGTGTATATGTGTGTAATTTGATGTTTTTTGGACTGTTGTTTGTTGGGAATGCAGTGAAGAAGAGGCGAAGAAGAAGATTTACTCTGTTTGTACAACAACGTATACTGGTTTTGGTGCTTTGATCTCTGAAGAGCTTTCCTATAAAGTTAAAGGTAGTTTTCTTGTAGTTTGTTTATTTTATTGTTTCTGAAGTTTTTCTGCATTGTTATTGANCTACGTATACTGGGTTTGGTGCTTTGATCTCTGAAGAGCTTTCCTATAAAGTTAAAGGTATTTTTCTTGTAGTTTGTTTATTTTATTGTTTCTGAAGTTTTTCTGCATTGTTATTGANACGTTACACCGTTTTTTCAGGTACAAGTTTCCCATAATATACTATAAGAGATCGTAGTAAAATTTCAAAAAAAAAATAAATAAATAAGGGGGTGTCGTTGAAATTGTTTATTTGTGATGATGTCGTTTGAAACGTCGTCGTCTATCAAATTGGAAACAATCGAATCGTACAAAATCCACATTTCGCCAATCTTTCTCACTGGCTTCTATTAGTATCAGTTCGATAAACCACAACGCAGTCGCTCTGTGTTCAGCCATGGCGATCTTCACCACCCGGCGTACTTTAGCCTCTCTCCTCACCCGAACTCTGTCATCCCCTCCACCTTCTCTCTCCTCTCGTTCTCGCTTCGCTCTCGCACTTCTCAACAACACCCAAAGCCCCCAACTGTATCCGGACCCAAAGCGGGTCCCGACCCGGTTCAAGACATCAAGGTCCGGCTACTCTCCGCTCAACGACCCATCTCCAAACTGGAGCAACCGGCCACCGAAGGAGACGATACTGCTCGACGGTTGCGACTACGAGCACTGGCTCATCGTCATGGAGTTTACCTCAGATCCTAAGCCTTCTGAAGAGGAAATGATTAATAGTTATGTCAAAACTCTAGCTTCCGTTATTGGAAGGTACTTCCTTTTTGCACAATTGCTTCGATTTTTATGTTTTCTCTATGTGTAGGGCAAAATTTTAATCTTAATGTTGTACGGGTATAACCTATTTGATCAATTGCTTCAATGTAAATGCTTATGTATGTACAAACCCACCTGATCAATGGATGTGTATATGTGTGTAATTTGATGTTTTTTGGACTGTTGTTTGTTGGGAATGCAGTGAAGAAGAGGCGAAGAAGAAGATTTACTCTGTTTGTACAACAACGTATACTGGTTTTGGTGCTTTGATCTCTGAAGAGCTTTCCTATAAAGTTAAAGGTAGTTTTCTTGTAGTTTGTTTATTTTATTGTTTCTGAAGTTTTTCTGCATTGTTATTGATTTTCTTGGGTTTTACTTTTCATTTAAATAGTTATGGATGCCTAAGGGTTTTGGGTTTTTAAGTTTAGACTTTTAAGGTTTGTATTTTTCACTTTTGTCTGATTCATATGGCGGGTGAAATGAGCTTTTAATCAGTTGCTAGTGCTACAGGGTTCAAGAGGGTTGAGGGTTTAGGGTTTAAGGTTTGCAAGTTACTCTTTTGATTGTTTTATTGTTTAACAATATCAGTGTTGGAGAAAATGAGATGAATTTTTTGCTATGGGAGTTCAAAAGGGTTTTTGATTCAACTATTGTGTAAAATTGTTTCAAGTTTTGGGTGCCAGATGGAATCACCTTCACTGAATCTGGATTGTTTTATGGTGGACAGGCTTACCTGGTGTTCTGTGGGTTTTGCCTGATTCTTATCTTGATGTGCCCAACAAAGATTATGGAGGTTGGTCTATTTGAAATTTGAATTTGAACTGTTGATTAGTTTTGGATCTTCTTGTTCATTAGTGGCAGGCTTGTCTTCTAGCCTTATAATTGCTCTTATTTAGTTGTCTTATGGTTGATCTGTAGGGGATTTGTTTGTTGATGGTAAAGTTGTCCATAGGCCACAGTATAGGTACAATGAGAGGGAACAAATAAGGAACAGGCCGCGTCCGAGGTACAATAGGCGCCGGGAAACAATGCAGACTCAAAGGAGAGAGCCTGCTGGATGGGCCCAAAATCAGCAAGCGCCGCCTGTGCCGCAACAGACATCAACGGATGGCCAGAATGCGTCTCAGAGTGGCAGGGGAAGTTTCCCTCCAAATCAGGGTGGATTTCAGGGGAACAATGCCTAAGAATTCATAGTGAACTGCTGAAAATTAGATCTTGGAGAATGGACTAATGGGTTCTTGCGTGCTTATATGACAGATAATGACTTCATGTCCCTTGCTTTCTGAGCATTTCTTGCCAGAAATGTCTGCACATAATCTAATATGAAGATAATACGTGAATATTTTTCTTGAACATTGTCATCTGTCTTTGAGCCATTAAACGTTATTAGTTACTGCAACAAACATAAGGTTCATATCATTTAGCCTTTTTTGTTTTCAGTTAATTGATAAGGAGATGCTAGCTTGAAATATCGACCATCTCGTCATTTCTTTCTTTATAGTTCCCATTAGTTATATACTGCACATATGTCCGTGTGAACAGATGTGAGCCCGTTTACACACAATGATCAACTCCAGATTGCGACTGATTTCTTTATAGTTCCCATTAGTTATATACTGCACATATGTCCGTGTGAACAGATGTGAGCCCGTTTACACACAATGATCAACTCCAGATTGCGACTGAGAGTAATCGCTGCCATTTGGGATCATACCACTGCTTGTCTGAGTAATGAATGAGATATTTGCAAACAAAACTTAGGAGCATGCGTGCTTTCTGCTCACTGGTCAGGTAAGAAGAACAGGAGGCATCTTTATTGGGCTCAATTTTTGTTCAGTTAAATGTTATGGAGTTTGAAGTCTCTTGCTTCAATTGTTATTGCTCGTATTGAAGTTCTCTGTGAGAACTATGTATATTCAGTCTGTGAATATAATTGAGTTAAGTTTTCATCTAATCTGTTTGTCCTGCCAGCAATGACTTGGTTGATTTGATCAGTTTTGTTACATTGATTATTCTTTGTCATGTATTATCCANGTTATTGCTCGTATTGAAGTTCTCTGTGAGAACTATGTATATTCAGTCTGTGAATATAATTGATTTAAGTTTTCATCTAATCTGTTTGTCCTGCCAGCAATGACTTGGTTGATTTGATCANGCTATTGCTCGTATTGAAGTTCTCTGTGAGAACTGTAAGGGATGAAACCCTCCACTCAGGATTTCGGCTTGACCTCCGCGCGTTCGGGAGTAGCCTTTANCAGTTTTGTTACATTGATTATTCTTTGTCATGTATTATCCAACCCCCACCTCAAAAGAAGGGGGAAATTGGAGTGAAGTGTGCGAGCACACCCGTGCACACAAGCGTGCGTGTGTATGTCTTTCTGGAACAAATGGATCACTAAAAATGGTTTTACTTGCAGAATGGTGTAGAGTATCATTGTTGAAAGATAAACAGTGGTTGTTGGGTTGAGTCCTGGTCAATAGGAGTTTGTTGCTTGCTTAGTTAATAAGTAGNGCAAGGTAAACAGTGGTTTTTGTCACCTATTGCTCTCTATTTTATGCTACTTCTTGTTTGGGTTCCTTTTCTTTCTCTATCAGACTTCGTGTACAAACTTTCTAGTAATGGTGAGTGTCTGTTCGATTTCGGACTACTATTCATACAATAGCTTGCAAATTCAATTTACCAATTAAAACAAAACTCATGTGATAATCAATTTTTTTTTTTCTTCACATGTGATAATCATATTTGGGACGTTGTACTAATTCATCTGCGCAACCCATCAAATGATACATTCTACCCAAAACGACAAAGAAATGACACATTCTACCCTCGATCTTCCTTGCCTAAAATGGAAGCCCACATACGGTGTCTGACGCAATCACCAGTGTCCTCAAGCCACCTAGCTGGGTTAAACATTCACCGCCACCGCCACTTCTCTCTCTCTCTCTCTCTCACCGAATACCGAACACAGACGCCAGTCAGCACAAATCCGTACATACACCATTACGCACTGCCTTGTCCGATCACGAATCTCTCTCCCTCTTCCTCTCGCTTTCATCAGGTACGTTCTTAATCGAACAAGATCTCATTTCCTTCTCTCTGATCTGCGAATATACAATAATATTCTCATTTCTTGATATTTTGACATCAATTATCGATCTTTAAATCCAAAAAGATGAACTCAAAATATGGAAAATCCAATAAAAATGTATCTTTGAACAATTTCGAGTTCGATATCGGACTCAACACAACCCGTTCTAGATCACTCAACGACCAAAAGAACAACCAAACAACCTCGAATTCATATTCATCATCTTCTAATTCGAAGCCCAATACGACGTCGTGGCACCCCAACAAACCCTCATGGACTCACCAACCGGCGCCACCGAGTCAATCGAATCGGCCCGACTCATTATCCGGTTCAACATCGATGGTCGGTGACATATTTGGAAAAAGCTGGGCTCCATCATCGCCTTCTGTGGCAAATTCAAGTATTGGAATTGTAAACAAAAGCCCAAATNCTAATACGACGTCGTGGCACCCCAACAAACCCTCATGGACTCACCAACCGGCGCCACCGAGTCAATCGAATCTGCCCGACTCATTATCCGGTTCAACATCGATGGTCGGTGACATATTTGGAAAAAGCTGGGCTTCATCATCGCCTTCTGTGGCAAATTCAAGTATTGGAATTGTAAACAAAAGCCCAAATGTGTTCGGGGATCTCGTGAGCTCGGCATTAGGGCAAAATAAGGGTACAAATGGTAGCGTACCTTTGAAAAATGCAAAACCAGAATCGAATAAGAACGTGTATGGGATGGGGGGTATGGCGGATTCTTTGCCAAAAACAGATAATTCCCTGAAAAGTAGTGCTTATAATAATAAGAATACCTTTAGTAATAGTAATAGCAATGTTAATGTCAATGGTAATAGTAAAAGTCCGAATCTTGGTGGTCCATCGATGAAGAGTATGGGTGGAAATGGAACTTTAAGTGGAGGGAAGGGTTCAAAGGACCCATTTGGTAATCTGGTGGATTTTTCATCAAAGCCGGGTGTTAGAATGAATTCAGCAAGCAAAGGGTACAATAATAGTATTCTGGGAAATGATTCATTCGGGGATTTTCAGAATGCTTTGAAATCTTGTACATCCTCATTCATGTCAAATGTTTTTCCCACGCCTAGCAATAGTTCGGTGGGATCGAACATGGGTTCTTATTCGAAAATGGATGATTTTAGGGGATTTGCTTCTCAGAATCAGCCATCCGTGCAGTCTTCTGGTGTTGATGCATTTGATTCGTTGTTCTCCTCATCCTCAGCCTCAGGTGGTGTTGATAAAAAGGGTTCTGAAGGCCTCGGCAATGCGCAATTTTCTGGAGGTGATGATTGGGGTTTTGAATCAGAGTTTGGGGGAGGGAATGACGCCGGTGGGACAACTGAGCTTGAAGGGCTTCCTCCTCCGCCTGCAGGGGTTACTGCATTATCTGCAAAGAACAAGGGAAATGGATAATCACAAGCAGGGGCAATATGCTGATGCCATAAAGTGGTTGTCATGGGATGTCATTCTTCTTGAGAAGACTGGTGATGATGTTGGCACAATGGAGGTCTTGTCATGCAGGGCTTCATGCTACAAGGAAGTTGGGGAGTACAAGAAGGCTGTCGCTGACTGTACAAAGGTATGATCCTAACTTCTCTTTTGTTGAAAAAATTTGAGGTTCATATATTTTTATTCCATTTTTGCTTTTTGTAGACATTAGTTTGCCTGATTATTGCATCCTAGGAACTTTAAAGTTGTAGAACTCCCTTTAATTATCTGTGAAGCTGTGAATTCGAGGGTCAGCTATCCGTTGGAGGTGAAGAAACTTGGTCAATTGAAAGATATGCACTGTTTTTCACTTCATGTAAATTGCCACCTCTTATAAGACAATTTCTTGGGTACTGCTATCCACATAGGCAGATCTCTTTAAGCTCTGCTGGTCAATTATCTGTTGTTCCAATCCTAACCGTGCTATTTTGTTTAAGGCTATCTGTTCATATGAAGCAGTGGGACATGCCCAATACAGGGCTGCAGCCATTTCAAGATGGCTTGTTCTTACCATTTTATTTAGGCAATTTCATTTTACTCTGGCTTTATGGTCACTTTATCTTAGTGACTTACCTACTTAATGTTGACAACCATTTCATTGTTTTTTTTTTGTGTCTAAAAAAAGAGAGTTCATAANCCTACTTAATGTTGACAACCATTTCATTGTTTTTTTTTTGTGTCTAAAAAAAGAGAGTTCATAATATGCATTATATTCTGCAGATACTAGAAAATTATGGCACAATCACATCTGTCCTTGTACAGCGGGCCCTCCTATACGAGAGTATGGAGAAGTATAAGCTTGGGGCAGAAGACCTCAGGACAGTTATGAAACTTGATCCTGGTAATAGGGTTGCAAGAAGTACCATTCACCACTTGACTAAAATGGCTGAGTAGAGATGTTTTGGAATTCTATTTGTTAGCCCTTCGTTTACGCATATGTTCGATTCCACTATTCCCCTGATTTACATGCATAATATACTGTATTTCATATCTCCCATGGATTTTGATTGGAAGTTCTCTCTCTCCCTCTCTCTCTTTTTTGTAGCTTAAAATCAGCTTTCGTGTGACCAATTATAAGTGATGGAGTATTTGCTCTGTTATGTGTCTCGCTGCATATGAGTTGTGCTTTATTGTTGATTGCTATTATCTTACTTTTGCTGTTTAGTTATTCATACTTCATGCAATTATCGTAAGCCTCTCATTATGTGCATGAATCTTTTCTAGTGCAATTAGTCACATGGTCCTAGTCCCTACCCTTGCGCTAAATTTCCCACCATGTAACCCATCATGATTTTAGTATCTAGCATGGTGAGTTGAATGTTCAGTGTGTCAAAATTCAATCAAATTTATGAACTTCTCATTATGCATGAACCTTTTGTTGTGCACTTACCTGCAGAATTTTGTACAACCCTTCATTATGTGGTTATATTGATTGGTTATTGTATATTCACTGATCATATCTAATTTTTCAGGGAGCTATGTCACAGTAATAGAAATTTGTTGATAGCTTGAAACCTTTTGGTAATCTAACAAGTGATATTCTTAGTTATTGCTAGGGGAATCAAACTGATTTTTCATAACAGCCCCTGATTCCGCTTTTATTCTTTGGCTGGGAGGAGACAGGAAGAGCATGCCTAGAGTAAAGTTCTGAAGAAGATGGAACTCCAGTAGCAGTTAGGGCAGCATGCCAGCCCTTGCTAAAGTATGCATCCCGAAGTTGAGGGATTTGCAAATCTAGATCATTTTCTGCCTTTTCAATTCCCTCATCATATGCAACATCTTCTCTTTCCTTAGCCTCAGCCTTGTATTGATCAAACTCTTCAAGAAAACTTGTGTAATCTAGCTAGGATTGAGAAAGCTCCGCATTGGCTTCATGTTCAAAATCTTTTAACTTCCCAATGTACACTAGAAGCTTTTCGTTCTCCTTGGTCAGGCTTCAATTTTGAGCCCGGAGAACCTTAACTTCTTCGCAGATCTTGGTGTATTCTTCATCTACAGACTCCTTCTTAACTAAAGTTGAAGCTCAGGCATGGATAGCATCCTTTCTTGCTTTGTCTTTTTGGGCTATCCTAGCATCCAATTTGGAAAGAGGAAAAAAGACTTAGACAAAATTTTGAAAAAAACAGAAGGAAAGGCCTAAAGGAACAAGTTAGTAAAGAAAGAACAAGTCTTATCAAAATCATGTGCTGAATAGTTTGACGAGACACTTCATCATCTATCAAAGCCTCATTCATAGCTAAATCTCGAGGCAAAATTACTCCCTGAGCGATCCCCACTGCAACATTAAAATCTTCGATTGCAGAGACTTTTACAGTGATCTCTTTCCTTTTTGCCCTAAGGACAGGTCGGAAAGGAGGATTGACAGGCTTGGAAGAAAGGCTTGCCTCGGACTCAATAATTTTTTGCCTTTTGGGGCGAGGTCTTTAGCAAGTTCAAAAATTGAGTCATCTTGATGGTCTGGAGAACGAACAGAAGCAACAGGGTCTAAATCAATAGCAAATGAAGTTTCAATGGCTCGAGCCAAGTCTTTCGGATCTCTGACTGGCGGAATTGCATCATTGGGTTCAGGGGAAACAGTTTCGGCGGGAACCTCAGCTGCAAGATCCTCCTCATGTACAGGTATTAAAGGCACAGAAGTTGTTGGTGGACTCGGTTAGACGGACGAGGTCGGTTCAACAGTTGATAAAAAATCTAGGAAATTCTTCACTGTCCTCCATTTAGAACTAGCAAGAGAAGACTTCTTTCGGAATCGGGGTGTCTGATCCCGAACAGTCTGAATGGCCTCCTGAACCTCAGCAAGTATAGCATTGGGCGGTTCGGGACAGCTATAAAGGATGTGTATGTCGGCATATACCTAAGCAGGGTATGAGCAGCTCAGCAGAACAAAAACTCATTATAGTCCCAAACTTTCTTAAGTTCATCCATTTTCACAAAAGACTTGGGAATTCTACCCTTCACAGTCTCGCCTTCAAACAAAAGAAAAACTCATGAAAGAAAGCAGTATACAAACAAACTAATCTGGAAGAGTAAAAAGTACAGATACCTGGAGCGCCTTCTTCGTAGGGGCAGCGATAGGATGGGATAGCACCAGCAGCATACTCCCAATTCCCAGAAACAAAAACAATGTCATTCTCATGACCTTTGTTAGAATCTTGAAGATGGGTCACCAAGTAACGATCTTTCTTCCTCACCGTCAGATAGTAATTGTCTCCAATCGGTTTGATGATATAGCAGTATAGAATCTCCCATAAACCCAGACTCAAGCCCAGTAGCTTATTCAAAGCAACCACCCCCATCACAATCCTGAAAAAGATGGGGCAACATTGGATGGGGCAGAGTTTAGTTGCAGAAAGTACTCAGAAGAGGAGAGGGTCCAGAGGGAATCGAACTCCACCCTCAGTGATCGCTCGAGTATGAATGGAATTGCTTTCTCTTGTGCCAATTAGAGGTTCGTCTTTTCCTGCGACTCTTACGTCAACATCATCTGGTATATTGTATTTAGCTTTGAAGGCTGGAACTTTAGGAGAAGTAAGGGGGTCATGGCAGAAGATGATGACGATAAAGGAAAAGAAGTCAAGAAGTTCGAAAAGACAAGGTAAAGAATGAATGAAAGAAGGTTGCTTATAAAANAGGGGGTCATGGCAGAAGATGATGACGATAAAGGAAAAGAAGTCAAGAAGTTCGAAAAGACAAGGTAAAGAATGAATGAAAGAAGGTTGCTTATAAAAGGAGAGAATTCCAAAAGGCTATTTAAACACCAAGCATGCCGCCAAAACAACGGGAAATGTCACAAGTACGCAATGATGACTGAAAAGGCAAAAAACGGCCGACAGACAAAAGGNAAGGAGAGAATTCCAAAAGGCTATTTAAACACCAAGCATGCCGCCAAAACAACGGGAGATGTCACAAGTACGCAATGATGACTGAAAAGGCAAAAAACGGCCGACAGACAAAAGACGTCTGTTAGACATTTTCTGAGGGCATATGAAGTGGGTGGCTCCCTTTATTACACATGTTATGATATTAAATGAGCTCACTTGAGTGACAAAACAAGGCACGTGATGGAGACTTCGGTCACTCAGTCAATAGTCCGAAGCCAAGCTGTTCGATGAGTTCGGTGAGAAACGCAAGAGGTCGGTCCTCATTGTGACCAAACTGTTTCAAACAATCAAAACAAAGAACAAAAGATTTGCATATAATTCAGGCATCCTGGATAAGTTAATGGGTTTAATTAAAGGTCAGGCCAAGGGAATTGCCAGAGAAATTGCAGCATCTTCCAAACAGAATCGCCTAATTGAAGGAAGGTGTTCCACCTTGAATTGAAAATCATGAAAACCCTAACTGAACAGGGATCTATAAAAGATACAAGAAGCCAAGGTGAAAAGTGAAAAGTACGCTGAACTCTTCTTGACTTCTTGCATTTGTTTCAATTACATTACTGACTTAAGTATCGGAGTGCCTTCGATCGAACCACTTCGATCTTGGGTAGTTTATTCGTTTTGCAGGAAGAAAAGACTGAGAGATTAAGTTCAGAGCTCATTCTAATCAGAAACGTTCATCCCTTATTTTTGTGAGGTATCCTCAATTTTTCCCTCTTACAGTAAACCTCTCATTATGTGCATGAATCTTTCCTAGTGCAATTAGTCACATGGTCCCAGTCGCTACCCTTGCGCTAAATTTCCCACCATGTAACCCACCTTGATTTTAGTATCTAGCATTGTGAGTTAAATGTTCAGTGTGTCAAAAATCAATCAAATTTATGAACTTCTCATTATGCATGAACCTTCTGTTGTGCACTTATCTGCAGAATTTTGTACAACCTTTCATTATGTGGTTATATTGATTGGTTATTGTATATTCACTGATCATATCTAATTTTTCAGGGAGCTATGTCATAGTAATAGAAATTTGTTGATAGCTTGAAACCTTTTGGTAATCTAACAAGAAGTAATATTCTTAGTTATTGCGAGGGGAATCAAACTGATTTTACATAACAGCCCCTNTGCATGTGATGATAAAGAAGAAGAAGATGAAGGAGAAGATAATGGACTACTGATGACTTAGCAGACATAAACAACAAAATGAAATAAATAGTATAAACACATGTAACACAATTTAGGCAACTTCTCTGTCCTTTTTTAAACTATTGTAACTCCTCAGCAATGGCGCCAAAACCCAAGTATAAGTGGTCAAGTTGTAATATTATTCGGTGAAGTCTGAAGTCGATTCCTTAGGGAGTTATCTGTTGAAAACTTGATACATAAAAGAGTGAAATTGTTGTGCACATAGTGTGAATTACAACAGATTGTTGTGTGAGCTTAAAATTGATAAATAAACACTTAAACTAAACTTGGTTACAACAATAAAAAAAATGGTACTCTTTAGTTTAGGGATCCAATGTGCAACTGGTTAGGTTAGCTAGAAGGTCTATGCACCATACAACAACCAAATAACCCTAGTAAATCCAAAGGTGAACAATTTAAAAGGTTTACAATGGCTATTCGATTAGCAGGTCTACGATTTAATGAAAACGGAGTTTCGATTTATTCATTAAATCAAAAGCATTGCCTATGGAAAGATTTAACTCATCTATAACCAATCTCCGGATTGTTACATAAATCCCAACTACGTGCACCATTGTATCATGCATAAAACACATAACAAAGTATAGATGGAATGGAAATGAACAATAAGTCTAGCTCAGTACTCATAACCTAATTTATAGTAATACAATATATCGAATATAAATGTAAACCATCCATCATTTAAGGGAGGTATAACATTAAAGTGTAAAACCTGAGTAAATTTGAACTTTTTATGAAAAATGGTAAAATGGTAATTTGTCACTATAGTACGGGTTGTAAACCTGAAAATTTTCTAGAACTCGGATGACGAAACAGACCTCACCGTTGGATTCATCTCGCAAAATCTAGTTACCACGTCAAATTTTATCAAATTCCAAAATAGTCGGATTTTTCATGTTTTACGAGGCGACCGAGTTTCGGACGAACCAAAAATAGGATTTTGATAAAATTTTNCAAATTCCAAAATAGTCGGATTTTTCATGTTTTACGAGGCGACCGAGTTTCGGACGAACCAAAAATAGGATTTTGATAAATTTTTTTTGAAATTTGGAAAATAATTTAAAGCAAATTAAAATAAAAATATTTTGAACTTGAACCGGGACGAAATTTAATCGTTTCGGGATGAAAACGAATCCGAAAAATAAAGGGTCGTGTGGCGCGTTGTAGGCCAAG